GTGTGTGTGTGTGTGTGTGTGTGTGTGTGTGTGTGTGTGTTTTGACTCTCAGCTACTACCACGCCAAACTTCAGCTTGACTTCAGCTGCGGCGGCCATCTTGAATCACTTTATTTTGAACAGCAGCAGGCTGGGTGAGATTATAGGACAGAGTTAAACCGCTGCAGCGGAGGGAGTCTCTGTGACCCACAAAAGTTCTGGATTCAGGTAACCGGATCCAGAACCTCAGTCTGAAGGAACCCAACCCCGCGGCGTTTGATACTTCCTGTTTCTTTCAGACCGATAAAAAGATGAAACTCAACCCGTCACAGAGAGAAGAAACAGACGAGATGATTAATCGTAATAATTCAGACGGCTGAGGTGGGGTTCTGTGGAGTCACTGTGAGCAGTTAGTATCTTACCTGTTGCAGGTTAAAAAAAACTTCAATTTATCTGGATATTTTCTGGTATTTACTGCGATAACGATAAATATWATATTTCGACAACAGAGACACTCGTTAGCTCGTTAATTAGCACGTGTTTGGTTGCTTCCTTTGAAGTTGCTTTCATCACCTGCCCAGGTGTTTATACTCCCTGTGAGGAGGAAGAAATGTTTATTTCATTGTGCTAACTCTTGTAGCTCATCTCGAACATTTGCTTCAAAACATTTACTCAAAAACAAAGATTGTTAAAGTTCTTTTTAAAAAAAATTATAACGCAAAATGAGAAGTTTTATTAAGTTACGACCAAACAGATGAGCTCCTGGCTAGTCCTAACAGAGTCACTGCCGCCTCGAAGCGACTCCAGTCCACAAAGTTTCATTGACGTGAATTTTGGTGTCCACATGAAGGTTCGTAAAATATTTGCCAAGTGTATTTCGAGTGCGGCAGCAGCTAGCTGTAGCACTTTCAGTGCAGCCTGCTATCAGTGTTTGACCCCCTGGCAGCAGGAGGGYTAAGCCACTCTGCTCTGACTAGCCTTTAGCTCATCAGTTCTGTCAGAGTTACAGAGAATTTGAGAATTTGCATTTTGCGCATGAATAAAATGTGAATGTTTGTTGCTGAAAGTAGAAAAACAAAAATGAAACATTTTAAAAAATGTGTCAAAAAGCTGAACAGAGCACAAATGTAGCTAAAATTATCAGAAAATAGTAAATAGTAGCTTAAAAAGCAAAAAAAAGTGAAACTACTGAGACGTTTCTAGAAGCAATAAAGGTGAATTTATAAAATAATATAAAAATAAAGCTGAAATTTAGACAAAAAAGGTAAAACAAGCAGAAATATGGCCAAACTGTGACCATAACCTTTTATTTTGTGACCTTTAAATTATTAAAGGTCGTTATTTCAGCTGTTGAAATGAGCAGATTGTGACATTTTCAGGAAAAAAAGGTAGAAATTTTAGAAATTTGTTGTAAAATAGATAGTTTCAGCTTGCTTTGGCTTCTACTTAACTAATTTTAGCTTTTATTTTTCTTGTTTTAGCTGTCATTCTGCTCTTTTTCTGCTATTTGTCTGTTGATTTAAATTTTAACTCTGCTAATTTAAGATTTTTATGCTTCTTTCAGCTGCTTTTCGCTATTTTCAGCTGTTTTGTGTTTTTAGCTTTTTTAAGCAGATAGCTAATTTGAGCCTTTTTAAAGCTAAATACACCTTTTTATGATCATTTCAAATTCTTATTACAACAAACAAGCTCTTTCTGTTTAATTCTRCTGATGTATCATCTAAATTTTAAGCTACTTTATTGGTTAGATTTAGCTTTTTTACGTATTTCAAAACAAATTGGATTGTTTGGTTCTTCTTTTCTTGGTTCATTTTATTTTTATTTTTTGCTAATTTAAAATCTATTACTCTCCTTTTCCCTTCTGCCTAATTTTAACCCATTTCTGCTACTTTTTGCCGCTTTTTTGCTAATTTTGGCTACTTTTAGCCTTGCTTAGCATTTTTCAGCTTCTTTTCTACAAATTGCATCTGTTTTGTGCTCATTTCTGTTCTTTTACCTTCATCTGAATCAGATTTAAAGAGATTGGGCTAAATTTTAGGTGTATTTTTAGGTAGTAGCTGAGAGTGATTCCCAGCGCGAGCCGAAAGCTAATTAGCAAATCAAGATAGCTGACAAAGCTAATTTAAGCTGTCCGTCAGTCGAAGGTCAGCTTCTTCTGCAGCTTTCAGAAAAAGTCTTGCAGCATTAAGAAAATGCAGATAATTAGGTTATTTTCACCACTTTCTACTGCAGGTAAGRTGCTGACCGGTCATACTTACTCCACATAACCCTTTAAAAATTGTTTTTTAGTAGTTTTATGGGACAAATCTTGTGCCAGCAGGAACTGAATTTGAATTGCTCAGATTTAATCTGAATGTGCATAATTTGAAATTGAATACGTTGGTTTGAAAAAGAATTTAATTAAACTGAAACTGAATTTAATGATTTTCAAGATTCAAGTAGTTTAACTGTCGATGTTTAAAATGTGCAAAACATACAGAGAACTGAAATTTCTCTCCTTCCCAGTTACAATAATAAACTATTAGCTGAAATTGCACAATACAGTTACATTTTAAATAAACCAAAAGTAAATGTGTAATAAATTTACTGTCAATTTTTGCTTTAGTTTTCTGGCTCTTCTTGCTTAAAACCCGAGTGTTTTGTTAATTTTAAACCATCTTGATCCTGCTTTATCAACAACACATTCCTGTTTGGACACGGACACGTGCACACACACACACACACACGTGCACACACACATTTGCTTTCCTAACCCTAAAACGCCTCTTTTACAAAGCCTCCCACCGGACGAAGCCTCCAGCAGATTCCAGGAACTCAGTGGGTCTCGCCTTGGCTTTATCTCCTCCAGCTCATCCACCCTCCTCCTCCTCCTCCTCCTCCTCCTCCTTCACTCACTCACTTCCTGCTCACACACGGACCGGGCTCGGGTCTGACTCGATGATTAAACCAGCAGCAGGAAAACAGACGTCTGAAGGCTCGAGGCTCAGGAAGCGGCGGGTTATCAGGGAGTGTCCCACTTCCTGTCTCCAGACTGAAGGACCGAAAACAAAAGCTCAGAGTCCTCCGCAGGAGACGAGGACGTCCACGACAAACGAGGCGTCCCGCTCGTTCAAAGGACAATTTTGTTTTGGTCCAATTTAAAATGTCAAAGACACGCCCACTTTGATTCTGTCTCTGGCCTGAAGTAAAGTGGACGTGTCWWWGACACGTCCACTTTACTTCAGGCCAGAGACAGAATCTGTCCACGTCAAAGACTTCTCTGTCCGTCCACAGGTCTGTGGGACAATTTCCTGTCCCCGTTCTAAAGTGATGAGGTCAAAGGTCATCAGGCTCACCAACCTTGTCTCTGCCTCAGGTGGACATCTCAAACATAGAAATGTCCAACCTCTTCTCTAGATTGTCTCTGTCTGTCAATAASACGTCAACAGGAAGTTGTCCCATCTGTCCACAGTTATTCCACAGAGTCTCATGTTTTACGTTTAGATCCATATTTTCAGTTTGATGTGGTTCAGTGAAGCTGTTTGACTTTAACTCGTTTTTTAAATTAATTAATTTATTTTAATCAACAGATGTTTTCAAATCTGTCCAGGTTTGTCTTAGAAACAATCTGTGTCCCTAAAAAGACAAATTACTGTAAGAATCTGTGGTTTTTATAAATCTGATCACAGATACTGAGCAGTCAAGAGTCTTCATGGGCTGAATAATAATAATGATAATAATAATAATAATAATAATA